ATTTTCAATGGAAGTGCCAATTGCACAATCGAAAGGTCACTTTCTAACTATCAAACAATTACCAAATAATTTATGTTAAATCTGAAAACTTTCGCAAAGAACTCAAAATAACTGTTCCAACCATCAAACAGCTGCTTTTTTCTCGTCACGTCAACATGCTAAAACAATGCACTCATCTCGTTTACTTAACATGTTTTTCCCGGCTTCCAAAAACGATGAATTTACAAACTTCGCCCTATTTATTTTCATTAACTTTTGTCATGTGGTATTTGAAAATGCATCTTGTTCGGAGGTAGTATTGTTTGCCTGCACATCCCCCCTCACTTCATAGCTTATTGGTGCTGAATTTCAAACGGTCTACAAAACCAAGATCTTTCACTTGTCCGTAATAGTGTTTTTTTACAGTGGCGTCAACACATGTCGATTGTTCTCCTTGGATCTTGAACTAATATTTTTGCCAGCTCATCTTACATTTGACTGTGAGATCAACCCTGATCCACCTAACGGACATCATGAACCACAATTATATGAACAAGGTAGCGAACAGAGAGAAAAAACATTATTTCTGTCTTATTGCTGTCTGTGGATCACGTGTCAGATGGAGTCACGTGATGTCCGCTTCAGTTGGTTCATTTGGGCGAAGAAACAACCGAAATCCATTGTTCGTAGTGATTTTTACTCAGTTGCAGTAAGACTGTGAAAACAAATGCCGCTTGCGGTGTTCCGCCACTCACAATTTATTACCACCCAAAAAAACTTGCGCCAAAACCCGGATTTCTCACCGTAGTTTACACATTCGGTCTCCAAAATGCAGTTTTTCCCACCAACCGCTATTGTTTCTCAAAAATCAGACATCTTTGGGTTCGAGTAATTCGAGGCGCATTGGAGGTTTTTTCTCTACCAAACACATGCTCAGATTAAGTCCGCCAATAAAAGTAAAAAGCACGTTCTTCAGCATGAAGGAAACTACTCACACGGTTGCTGAAAACTCTTCGACAGCCCAAGACCGGTTTCACCCTTCTTGGAGCTCATCAGGTAGGCGCAGTCCCAGAGTTTCCGTCAAACTTATATTCTACTTGAACCCAAATTGGACTGTTTTCGAGAAATACACTCATTTGCAAATCAATTTGGTTTTAACGAGAGATTCTGTCTTTTATGCTATCTAACAACTGAATGTGTTGCACACAGGCCACCTCATGTTTCAGTTGGCACGATATTCGAGATATCGCAGTATATTTTCATGAAGAAAACTACTCACAAGTTTGCTGAACACTCTTCGACAGCCCACGACCGGTTTCGCCCTCCTTGGAGCTCATCAGGTAGGCGCAGTCCCAGAGTTTCCGCAAACCTTATGTTCTAGCTGATAAAAAAACGCACGAACTCAGCGAACAACGCTCATGTGCAAGCTAACTTGTTTTCGTAACACCATAAATGAGAGATTCAGCTGGGTTCCAGGTGAGTCTCCCGCAGATGAGTGTAGTCGCTAGGTTCTTCAGCACTTATCTAAACGTTTCCAAAACATGCAACAATACGTATAGGTGAAAAGCGTGTTCAACTCAGTTTGCTTACTGATTTTTATTCATTAACTTTCCACAACGCCAAAGTTGTTGGACGTGGGCCAAACAATAATTCAGGTTGATTGAATGCTGGACTGTAAACTTTACTTTTCTTAAGTGAGACACCAGTTTTCTGCATTTCATTTTACGGTGTATTGAATCCAACTTGACAACCTGATGGTTCCTCCATCTATTCCTCTACTTCGCCGATGTACTTTTGGTAGCATTTTTGCTCATTCGTACCCACTGTCCACCTTGTCGCAATGGCCGCCCTGTCCGGAACTGATATATTAGCTTATGTGCGTATACACAGCTGACCTACTCACGTATGCGTTTTCGTGCCGCGTACACTGAGCTGCCCTGAATCGTTCCGTCGTGGATTACGCTGCAAGAAACGGCGGCTAATCAATGTCAGTGGCGTTCGTCCTGTCAGTTTCTTTCCAGATTGTCTGATTGAGTGGTTGAACCTCAGAATGCTTCACATAGACTAGCACTAGGTCCTCTCCCTCACCCACTCTTTCTCTCTTTTCACCCTAGGGGTTTTAACATAATATAAGTTGACGAACCTTATGGTTGTACAGCAGTGAAACATCAGTGCCGACACTGATGAAGGTGTCTTTGATGATGATGATGACGTCTGATGGTACAGCCAATCAGAGTTATGAGACTGGCCTTGGAAAGGACCAATGCAGCCCACCCTAACGGGCCAACATTCCACTCGACCTTGTTTGGTGTGCGCATCTTGAGATTGCACTGTACCGGTTAGTGACGGACTTGCGCACACGTTGACACCACGAACGCAGAAAACGGGTGTTTGATATGTCATATAGCTTACCGTTGTGTGAGGGGGACGAGATGGCCCAAGTGGTTAGAGCGCGAATTTACTGACCGGAGGGTCCGTGGTTCGAACCCGATCTCTGCCTCTCGAGTTCCCCTATCTAGGCTTGGGCAACCTGGCACTACCCCCAGCCCTCGTGCCTTCTTCGGGTGGCATGGCAGCTTGGGCACCGGGAGGGTGCTACAGCTGAACAACTTTTTTTACCTTTGTGTAAGAGGCAGTCGACTTTGGTATTCGCGATCGTCGAACATACACGTGACCAAATGATCCACTTCGGGAACCTCACCACAGCTTGAAGAATAACTTTTTGGTCCAGCACGCAGGCCTGATGTTATCTTGCTTTGTCAACATAGGGTTGGTTCGAGCTACTTCACGTTGCTGTGAATAGAAATTTGTACAAAGAGTACATAAGTTTGACTCGGGAACTGCGCCTAACTGATGAACCCGAAAGAGAAGAGTCTTCAGCGACTTTCGGGGAGTGATGCTCCTTCGTACATTCAACCAATAGCTCGGTTTCTTTATCGGACTATCACGGCGGTCCAGAACACAGCTCACTGGACAATCCGAAACACCTAACGCGGGCGATACCGATTGGTTCAGCCCTGGATTGCGGGAATTTAAGGTAGCTGAAACTGCGGTTGTTGACCCAAGCTGACCTTGAGCATAGGTAAAACCACAAAGCGATGGGGATAACTCTGTGAGTAGTTTTCTGCCTCACTGTGGGGATAGAGGCGAATGGCGATACTGCGATTAACTTATCTCACTGGTGCGTCCTGGACAGGTGTCATGCACAGGGAATAAAAGACAATCCAACACAATCTGGGCTTTAAATCCGTTGCAAACTTTGACTGTTGCGAAGCCCATGGATAATTTGATTGGTTTCATTCAGCGCGTGGAGAAGAACCATGCATATCACCTCCACAGACCCGTCCAGCTTGCGCTGAAACATGTCGCCTTTTGTGTCACATCAATTAACTAGGTAATGAGAAATCCGAGTTCATTGGCTTCATTCCGGGTTCCGTTAACCTTTCTTTATTTTGGCCATAGCAAAGTGAGCGACATTTCGCAAAATACACTCATTTGCAAACAAGTGTGGTTTTGCGGGAGACTCTCTTGGAACCCAGCTGAATCTCTTGGTTATGAAGTTTCTAGAACAAATTTGTTTGCAAATGAGCGTGTTTCGCTAATTTCGTGCAATTTGGTTTCACATAGAACATAAGGTTGATGGAAACTTGGGGACTGCGCCTAACTGATGAGCCCCAATAAGGGCGCAACCGGTTGTGGGCTACCGAGAAGTTTTCAGCAACTCTTTAAGTAGTATATCACATCTATAATACCCTCTGAAGAGCAAAGCTGCAGAGTTTGTGCACAAAGGCCGTCTCATGTTTCAGATAGCATTCGAGATATCGAGGTTATCGTAAACGAGAGATCCAGTTGAGTCTCTTGTGAAAACCAAATTGATTTGCAAATGAATATATTTCCCGAAAGCAGTCCAATTTGGGTTGCCGGAAACTCGGGGACTGCGCCTACCTGATGAGCCCGAACTGGAAGGGCGAAACCGGTCGTGGGCTGTCGAAGAATTTTCAGTAACCTTATGAGTAGTGCATAACGCCTATACATGTATCGTAATATCTTGGTGAGCGACAGTTGTTTTCAATCTGGCTCCGGTTAGCAAGCAATGCGTGGGTGGACTTAAAGGTCATATCAGACAGACTCAACTCCGGTATTCCCTGAAATTCCTTAGGCATTCTCCAGAATCTGATTATCTACGATGACAATTGTTCCGGAGCTAGACGTTGTCTTCTTGATCGTCGTCTTCATACGTCGCGGCGATGACCGTCTGGGGGATCCACCTGGAATTTTTCTCCAAGTTGTCCAAATTCTGGTAACAGACAAACACTTACGTTGCATTGTGATCACATGATATGGAGATCACATGACGAAAGGATATCTTCAAAGAGCCGAGATGTTTTGGTTTGGGGACAAATTACATCACAGGCTCAAAGGTTTCGATTGATCGTAGGCCTTCTGGGGGGGAGCTTACCGTTGTGTGAGGGGGGCGAGATTGCCCAAGTGGTTAGAGCGCGAATTTACTGACCGGAAGTTCCGTGGTTCGAACCCGACCTCCGCCTCTCGAGTTCCCCTGTCTAGGTCTGGACAACCTGGCAGTATCCAAGCCCTTGTTCTTCCTTCGGGTGGCATGGCAGCTAGGCAAAGGAAGGATGTTACAGTTGAACGCATTCTTTCTTTCTTTTTCTAGGCCTTCTAACCGTGTTACTTCACGGAAGTGAACGGTCTCTCCAGAAAAGACTGTAGTTCACTGCTGGATGGGTAAGATCTTGCCAAACAACAGTTACCTGACAAAGAATGCTCCACAAACGCAAATAGGGCGGCACAAGCAACCAATCGAACTCAAGAACGTCAGACCACAACGCAATACAACCCGAGAGAACGAACTACTAAAAATAGAAGGCGTGAGGATAACCAATCGACACAAAGGAACGCAGACCACAACGCAACAAAGATCACAAATGGACCAATAGATTCACCAAATTTGTTACACTTTAAGTAGCCAATCACGTCAGAAGATAACAGATAGCCCTCGAATGCTATATAAGCGCACGCAGGCAAGGAAGAAGTACCCACTCAACTGCGCACTGATGATGTCTCCTCGTATGGTGACGAAACGTTTGCAAGCCAATTGCCAAGCTCGGCGAACAGATCAACAGCCACCTGATCAACAACCAATAAATATGGGCCTAGCATACATTACATCCGTTTCAAGTTTTTTGCGTATCTACTGCCAAGGAAATATATTGATTGCTCTCGTTTCCATCGTTATATATAATAAATACTCGTTGTCTTATCGTCATGCCAACTAGAATTGGTATATGACCAATCAGCAGTGGTCTTTCTCTCCTCATCAATAGATTTACATACTTCGTCCAGGCTTCCTTCTGCAGCTTTAAGACTGGATCGCTCTCTGGTGATCAGAGGTTAAATTTCTAATTTATGTACAACCCCACCAGTTTCTACTCTGCGACTCTACAATATCTATACTTTCATAAGCTAAGGGGCCTGGGTGGGACAGTTTTGGCGTCCGAATTGATACTATTTGTAAAAAAAAATGGGCAGAAGTGCTGTTCCTCGCGGAGGGACAAGCAGGAGAACAGACAGCAAAATACGGAAAACTCATCGGTTTGGTTAAACTGATGGTGATGCGGTGGCCACGTGATGTGGTTCCCGTGATTGACTGAAGAGTGATTTCATGTCCTGTCTAAGTGAGGATTAATCACGCTGCTGGTCAAGCGTCGTCGGTCACGTGATTAAGTGTTAAACCAGTGACCGGAAGTTCACGGGTTCGAGACTGGAATTTCGTGCTATTTGCACTGCAGATGACTCCCCAGAGGGATGGAACAGCTGTACAGTACTTCTCGGCTTTTCAGCATAGATTGGCTTCACTGACAAGACGAAATTTCTGCTGAGGATTTTGTTAGACTCCGGGGTGATTTCCGCCGTACGGGTGAGTGCATGATGACGGGTTGCTTAGGATAAACAATAAATTGACAGCTTGAACAGGTTTCATCTGGCTCTAGTTAGGTGAATTTCATCACAGTTTGATGTTTTACCGTGCAAACTACTGTGTTGTCTCCGGTAAAAAGCATCCATCATCGTCGACTACGATGGCTCGGTCATGTGCTACGCATGCCGAAACACCGTCTACCGAGACGAGTGTTGTTCTCCGTGCCTCCTTCAGG